AGATGGTATGCAGATGAATGCGAAGCAAAAGGCAGTCAAAGTTAGAAAAAGCGAGGGCAAATTTTGAGGTGCAACACTATATGGGACACCTCTCTTGTTAAACGCAAAACTTGGTCCTTTATTGAGCCAATTGCCCCCCTTTGATGACTAAGGTTTGATGTTTTTAAGGCCCTCGGTGGCCTTCTTATCAAAAACTGCATTGCACCTTGGGCACAACATCACTTCAAAGTTTTTCAACTTGCATTTATTGAGGAATTTAATCAGTTCCTTTTCAACATGTGGGTATATCCCCTTGATTTTTCATAATATTTTGACTCATGCACCACTTCCATAGTCATGTTAGAGCATTTAATAGCCTCGACAACCAAGCACTCGACTGGTTCAACGAATGAGAATCCTTGATTTGCAATGTGTCAGCATCCACTTGTATTGGAGTCTTGGCTTTTTCTATAAACTTCAATCTTCTCTCTTTCAGTGGTCCTTGTACTAGATCCCTGAAAATATCACATTGGGAAGTCTTATGACTAAGAAAATTGTGAAATTTACAAAACCCTTTTTCTTTCATTGCTTTAAAGGTGGCATTTAAAACCCATTTAAGACTATAATTTGACCTTCGGCAACTAAAAGATCAAATATTTCGTCGCACTTAATTACGTTGAAAGTATAAGTTTTTACGAAAAATTTATCGTTTTTGGGTTCGACGGGATTCTTCCCATTAGACGGTTTTAATAGTTTACAGATATAAGAGAGTTATGTATTTAGTTCCGCCATGTTAACATTAATTTCTTCGACCTTTTCATACCTTATGTCATATTCTCGGTCTCTTTCGTCTGCTTCTATATAAGTAACTTTTTTTTTTGAAACTTATTTGACCTACCATTTTCTAAAATTTTAAGTGTTTGACTTGTTGAACTCTATCCTCTAATTGAGTCATATCTCTTAGATATTGGATTTCTAGTTTCTTCCTAATGGAATATTCTAGCCCGCCAACACCCATTTCGACTAGCTCATGCTCAGACACTTGGATGAACCACTTTGACTTCAATAGCCTGAATGTGTTCAGATAATTGTGTATTGATTCGGTCAATTTTCACCTCACGCTGGTCAATTCCTTAAGGTTGATCTTCGACTCCCCAGTGTAGAATTGTTCATGAAACTGACTCTAATTGACTCCAGTTATGCATGGAATGTGGAGGGAACATAGTGAAACATGTGAAGGTATTTTTATTCAGAGAATTTAGAATAAATTTCATGTTCAAATTCTCATTGTTTTCCATAACGCCCGCCTCATTTTGGTATCGAGCGATATGTTCGATAGTTGATTCGCTGGTATCACTTGCAAACTTGGTGAATTTGGGGACTTTCTACCCCATAGGGAATTCGGTTTGTAGTACATGCTCGGATAACATAGACACAAAATTTGGCATGTGTAGGCCTATATTTAGGTCTTTCTGGGCCAAGATGTTTTCGACCATGTAGACCAAATTATTTTGCCATCTAAGGTTGTTATGTTGAACATTTCTGACCACTTCCTCTTCATCTTGGTTTATACTTACTAGCATAACTCTCGGGTTGTTTTGACCAATATACTCTTCGTCCTCTCTACGTGTGGGAGGTTCTATAGGTCGAAACCCCAATAGTGGTTTCCCTTGGTTAACACGGGCCGCTCCATTGTCAGATGTTTCCACTAGCCTGGCATTTTAGGAACTGGTCGCACATGGGCTTGAGGATCGCCAAAGAAATCGGCTATTCGATCCATTTGGTTGGCTAATAATTCATAACTTCGGTTGGTGTTCTGAATTAAGGAATTGAATACCATACCAATCTGCTGAGTAAGTATGCTAACCATCTCGTGGTCACTCTCATATATTTTTTGCCTCACAAACATGAGAGATGTCGTATTTACGATCAACGTTACTTGAGGGATATAACCTAAACCTCCTGGTGGTGGCATTGTTCAGCTATGATTACTCATAGCCGAACTTGAGGAAAGATATGTGTTATAAGGTGATGATATTTCTATTGTGTTATCTGTATAAGTCGACGCACTAATTTGTATTCCTGCCATCATCGTTGGTGGCATATCATATGAATATTCTCTACTACCCATAGGTGTGAAAAAATTGGAAGATAAGGTAGCCTACGGTCTTTGAGACTTGGTCTTATAACCGTTTGGGTAATTGGGATACTAACTGATTGTGATGGGGGAATCAGCGCATCAGACAATGTTGATGGTGTTGATGTCGATGCTACCATTGGGTGTTTGTTCCAACAGAAGCCAAACAACCATATCTCTAGCCGTTGATCCGACCGATTTCTATCATACATTTTGGGAATTGTTCTAAGGGTTGGAAGTAGAGGGTTATTTAAAGGTGGACGCACCATTTCAGGGAGGGCTTTACCACTTCTCAAATGCATACATACATGAACATTGTGAACATTGCATGCATGAAGAACAATTTGAAACGTAATAAACACAACAGTTGTAAAAATTTGAAAGTTTTGCACAAAAGGGTCTTACCGGGTGTGTCAATTTGTTTACCGGTGTTTTTGGTAAGAAATTTTTACCTCATACCCCTACTTTTATGCTTATACCCCTACATTTAATAAAAATTATCAATTTTACCTTTATATATTTTAAACTAATTTATTATTTTATTTTTTAAAATATCTTTTAAATTTTATTTTGCATACCGGAAGACTTTGCAAAAGAGTTCCGGTAGTCATTTTTTAACTTTTTTGTGTATGGGAAGACTTTGCAAAAGAGTTATGGTAGTCAATTTTAGTGTACTAGAAGACTTTACAAAAGAGTTCCGATAATCATTATTTAAAAAAAATTGTGTATCGGAAGACTTTGAAAAAGAGTTCCGGTAGTTAATTTTTGTATATCGGATGACTTTGAAAGAGTTCCGATAGTCATTTTTTAAAACTTTTTTTTGCTTTTATTGTGTACTAGAAGACTTTGCAAAAGAGTTCTGGTATTTAATTTTTGTGTTCCGAAAGACTTTGCAAAAGAGTTCCGGTATTTAATTTTTGTGTACTAGAAGACTTTACAAAAGAGTTTCGGTAGTCATTTTTTAAAACTTTTTTTATGTATCGAAAGACTTTGCATAAGAGTTCCGGTGGTCAATTTTTTGTATCGGAAAACTTTTCAAAAGAATTTTGCTAATCAATTTTTGTTCACCAGAAGATTTTACAAAAGAGTTTCGGTAGTCATTTAATTTTTTTTTTGTGTACCAAAATACTTTGCAAAAGAGTTTCGGTAATCAACTCTTTTGCAAAGTCTTCCGATACGCAAAATAAAATTTAAAATTTATTTAAAAAATAAAATAATAAATTTGTTAAAAATATATAAAGATAAAATTGATATTTTTTATAAAATGTATGGGTATGAGGTAAAAATTTCTTTTGATAAACAACCACTTAGTTTTAAATAATTACTTGCAAGATCAAACTAGAAAGTCCTAAGAAATTTTGTGGATAATTTTTAAAGAAAAAGTGTTTGATTGTTGTTATAAGTTTAAAATGAAATGTTTAATAAAGCAACAAGAAAAAAGTCTGAAGGTGAAAAGAAGTTAAAGGTTTCGACTGTGTCAGAATCAACTATGAAATGAGTTGGAAAAAGTAATAAAGGTCAAAACAAAGTAAAAAAAAAAAAGTAACTGAGTTATTTCGAATAAATAAATGAAAGTTGGTGTACATAATCATACATATTCCTCACAAACTTGTATCTCGCTTTAACTTTGATACTTTGAGTTCTATAGAGATTTTGCAATGACATTGACACACGATTTCTAATGCTAGAACCACTCTATATACTAGTATAAAAATAATTGTCTACCACTGATATGTCTTCAATGTTCGACATGTAACCTCTAAGTAGTTTTCAACCTTCTATCTTGTTCCCACGTGTCTTTGACATTTGGATAAGGTTAAAAAACAATTACTCAATTTGATTCTTTTACCTCGTCTCAAGCGTTGATGGCTCAACGTAGTGCCACAGTTGATGGCTCAACTTGCCGAGTTATGAGGAGAAACATTTTCATAATTAAAAAAAAAAAATGCTAAGTCTAAAACTTATGGTCAGTGTGACGAACTCAACATCATAGTCGAACACTAATCTTGTCGCACACATAACCGTATATTTAACTAAGTATTGTCACATCCTCATATTTAACTAAGTATTATCACAGTATCATATTCTTTTTCCAAGCTCAGCACGTCGAAAATTCTAGACTAACGGAGATACAAAACTAGTTATCAAAACCAATATAAAATCCCATAAACATACCAACATTTATCCATGCATAAAAAAAAAAACATTCAAACCAAATACATTGAATATGCGCTCTTTTTTTTTTTTGTCAATTGCAATTTTTGTTGACTCAACAAATTTTTAATAATAATTAAATTAAAAAGATATGAATTTCATATAGACCAAACACATTTAATATTAATACTAAAAAATGTTGTGTTGGATTATTTGTTCAGTTTACTTTTCTCCTTTAAATATTATAGTGAATGAACAAATAAATACTCAAAATTCTGGAAATCGATCCAAAAACTTTCCTAATTTTACACTTACAAATGTATATCTATAAAATCCATAACATTTATATCATGTTAGTCAAATTAGTGTTCTTAATTTCTAGAGATAGAAGCTATGGCTTACTACATGAACATGGAGTCTTTCATCTTTCATGTAAATTCATCATTATCACATCATCACAAACTTATGTTGTACATCAAATTTATGCATTTCATATAGAGCTATAACTTCTAATCCTACACGCACAATACTAACATCAAACAACAAAAACACTAATGCAATGTGTGAAGAAAAAGAATAGGTCACACAATTGATACACATTAAGACCAACAACAATAAGAGTAAAACTAGAAACACATGAAACAACATGGAATCTTAATCTACTAGCCCCATTATGCAGTTATCAGCAACAACATCTATGCCTACACAGTACAAACAAACAAGCATCCTTTTATTCCTGCTTCCTCGAGTCTTTGAGCTGCCCCCTCTTTCTAATACCCATACAAAACCCGAGGCGCCAAGTATCAACTACGTACTCAGGCAACGAACATGCCACAGCCCAAAGAAGGGTATGTGGCCAATACGGTGTGCAACGAGGTTCGTAGCCTATCCATTTCACACCTGCTTTCGCGTAGCCGTCTGTTGATGGAACAAAGAACGAAGATCTCTTGATTGAGGCCATCTTTGTTGCCACATATAATGGAACCTGAAATCCAGAAAAAAATCTACATCAGAAACATGACAATAATCATGGTAACATAGTCAATTTTCTATAGAGAGAGACAAACACACGGCTAGAACTCTTATCATGAAAAAATATCAATATCAAACGGAACTATGACTTCTCAGTCTTCAACTTCCAACAAACTTTTTAGTCATGTAGTTGCAACAACTTGGAAAAAAATGTAAAGGGGTTTCTTTTCTGTTTAGTTTTTTGTTCACACATTTGTAACCGTGAACATTAGTGCTTTACCAAATAAATCATGCGTTGTGCATTATTATGATAATAGTTCCACTCATGTAAAGCCCTAAACTACATCAACTATGCCTTATCCCAATAAACGTGCATTATGATGATAGTAGTTCCACTCAATTAAAGCCCTAAACTACATCAACTAAGCCTTATCCCGATAAATGTAACCGGCTACATGTTCTACATTATTATGACAATAGTTCCACTCTATTAAAGTCCTAAACAACATCAACTAAGTTTGGCTATATGGATCAACTTCGGCCAAGCCATAATGTTCAATCTAAGACCGTGTTTCTGTCTAAATCATTAATCACAAGATCTTTTTTAGTAAGATCTTTTATAGTTTTTCTAAGTCTTCCTCTACCCCACCTCTAGCTGTTCGACCACTCTCCATCTGATCTACTCTCCTTACCTCCAAATTTACAAGTCTCCTGATAAAGTCCACAATAATAATAATAATAATAATAATAATAATAATAATAATAATAATAATAATAATAATAATAATAATAATAATAATAATAATAATGATAAATGTGACTCTGCTAAAACCTATGCATGCCTATGCTTTCTTTTATATATCATCATCACCACAAAATTTTCATCTTAAACTAGAACTATTCAGCTGGATTTCCAATTTTCAATCTCTTCTAATTGGTAGTATAGTAATTAACTTTATCTTTTAAGGAAAACAATGAAACTTTTTACCAAAAAAAAAAACACTACACTACTAAGCTAGAAGCAGGTAAAATGAGTGAAATCAAAACAACATCACAATACCTGACACTGCACATCAATCCCACTCTTCTTGTATTCAACATAGAGACATCTAGAAAATTGATCAATGTACCTGAAACAACATAACATCAATACTTGAGAATCTCAAAATAAAACACAAATCTCATAAAAGAGCAATCAAAAACACTCACGCTTTAGTGGCAGCATAAACCGCATAAAGTGGATCAGAAGGAATAACAATAGCAGCACCCGAACCAATGTTAACAATAGCTCCCTTCTTTCTCTTCAACATCCCAGGCAAAACAGCATGTGTAACCTTAGTAGTTCCAACAACATTCACCTTAATCAAATTCTTCAGAAGCTCCTCATCCAATTCATGGAAGAATCTCGCGTAAGGGTAAGAAATCCCCACGTTGTTAACCAACACCCCAACATCCAACCCTTCAATAGTTTCACGAATTCTGTTCACACCCTCGTCGAGATCACCGGTGAAATCAACGACAACGGTTTTAACCTCGGTTTTTCCGAACTTGGCTATGATAGAATCTGAAACGTCTTTGAGTTTGTCGGGGTTGCGACCGACAAGGATTAGGTTCAGGCCTTTGCGAGCGAGTTCAAAGGCGAAGCTTTTTCCAATGCCGTCTGTGGGTCCTGTAACGAGTGCCCAAGATCCGTACTTTTTGAGGTTTTTGGGTTGTCTGAGAAAATTGACATAGACCCAGTTGAGAAATGTTAAAGCGAATCTGAGAATGATGAAGAGACCGAGTGAGAAGAGAAGGAGGAACCAGAGAGGTTCGGATTTGAGTTTACCGATTATGCAGCAATCCATATTGAGGGTGGGAGGAAGAAGAAGCAGAAAATGGTGATAGTTGAGTTATGAGGAGAGAAAAGAGAGAGGGGTTTAATTATTTATGAAGAAATAAAGAGTAAGATTGGATTTATGGTAAGAGGGAGGAAGAGAGAGAGGAGTGTGGGTATAGTATGGTAAGGTAGATGAGCAGAAAACTAACAAAATTAAGGAGGGAGGCTGGACAGTTGACACCATGCTTTGGCAATAAATACTAATGCATCACATATTCCCATTACAATTTTTTTTCTTCAAAATAATCATATGTTTCAATTAATTTTTTAAAATAACCATAATTTTAAATAAATATCAAATTAACAATGTTTAAAAAAAACTCTTGATAAGAGGAGTAGCTACTTTGAATGGTGTAGATTTATATTTGTTGTATATAGGCGTCATACATGGTGCCGCATGTTTATTAGACATGCCACTACATATAGCGCATGTTTCCATTCTCTAAAAGCATGCGCCATATGCATTGATTATTGCATTGTTTAGGATTTTTTGTATATACTCCATCCCTTTTCCATCATTTTCACTCATTTTCATCTTCTCCCATCATTTCTCACTCATCTTCTAAGTGTGTCCTTTAATTTTTCTTGAAAATGTCGTCTTATAAGTCACCTTATATACACAAGAGAAATGTCGATTTGATTTATTCAACAGTAAATCCTCCGATGAAGATCCGAATCTGGAGCACAGAGACGTTCGAGCATCTTCAGAGGTGTTTGATCCTGTACGGAAGAGTATAATTGTATCGCGTAACGATATGCAAGATTATTGTACTCACCTTCAATGACATATCTTTGCTAATGATAAACAAAATTTTATCACATGTTAAATGAGAGTTGAGTTTGCGATGATCCTGCATTGGATTGGTGATTACACAAGTGAGAGCTGGACCTATTGAACCTATCCTACAAGAATCACTCATCTTCCAATAAGATCCATTTTATGAAATATGAGCATCGATTGGTGATTACGCAAGTGTGAGTTGGACACATTCAACCTATTTCCTAAGAACCATATGATCGAATGATTGATTTTCTATTCAATCGTTGTGTAATTCAATTTTATGAAATAATATTATAAATTATTTTTAATTTTCTATTTTATTTTAAATCATTTTATTGTTACAATAATAAAAAAAATTATAAAAAAAACATAAACAATGTAGTAGCCACTGCATGTGGCGCATGCTCCTAGAGGATGCATGCATGCGCCACATGTAGTGGCATGTCCAATAAGCACGTGCCACCATGCATGGCGTCTATAAGTTGGAAATTCACTAAAACCTATGGAGAATTCCGCTGCAATCTTGATAAACAAGATTTAATCACATTGATCAAATTCTCTTTTGTGTTTCACTCTTCACTCGAGTGAATCAACTAACTTTGGTTGCAAGATGATTCTCGCTGCACAATTGTTAAAAGATGAAGAAAGAAAGAAAAAGATGAAATTGGAGAATAAAGAAATTAGGGTTTAGACAAAATAGGAGAAGAAAAAAGGATTTTCTGCAGAGCATCTCTGTAACGCCCCGATTCCGATTTCCTTTATTTTGAGTCCTTTTAATTTAATTGATTGAATTATTATTTTAAATATAGGATTTATGTGTTTAATATGTTATGTGTGCATATTTCGGGTAAAAATAGGTTGGAGGGTATTTTAGGCATTAGTGATTATGCTAAGTGGATATTTTTGTGAGAATTGATTAATTAGTGTGTGGAAAGAATTTGAGAGGAAAGAAATAGAAATATGAGATGAGAGACGAAAAGAAAAGAATATAGTAACATAGAAAGAAAAACAAGAGAAAGAAAGAGGAGAAGAGAAAGTGGAGAGAAAAGAAGAGGAAAACCTAGAACTTCAAGAAATTGTCACCAAAGCTTTCGATTGATCGGGTAAGGGTGTGAAACTTTATTATTCTATCAATGTGTATAATCATGTATGATTTTGTTGGATTATTTTGGATTGTTGGTAGTTTTTCTACACTTTCCATTTTAGGTTGAATTTGGTTTAATCAAAAGGAATCGTTGTTTAACGGTTAGAATCGTGATTAGATGATGTAGGTTAGACGATATATGTTAGACTAAGGCTATTGGAACAACTTTGGATTTAATCGGGTGATTTTGGTGAGTTTGGAGGTGCTATAGCAGAACTGAATGTTGTTGTTCGCAGGCGACTCGCTAGCAGCTCGCTAGGCGAGCACGCAGCGAACGCTCGCTAGCAGCTCGCTAGGCGAGCGTGCAGCGAACGGTCCCAGACTTGGGACAGTGAGATCCTGATGTCCCTCGTTGGTAGCGAAGGGAGTAGCGAGGAGCTCGCTGGAGGTTCGCTGCGGCGAACGGGGTAGCGAACGAGGTCTGTAGCCTCTGTTCTTGCTCGCTAGCAGTTCGCTAGGCGAGGAGGTAGCGAACGCTCGCTAGTAGCTCGCTAGGCGAGCGTGTAGCGAACGTAGCAGGATGAGTTTTCCCTGTTGCGTGGTGCTGTCGTGGCTTGGGGTTCCGGTTGCGATTGACCCTTCTTTAATTTAATAGCTTATATGCTGGTTTGTGATGTGCTGTGGGTAGCCGTATGGCGTGAATCCTAGATTATGAATTGTGGCCGTTTGGGCAATTATGTGCAATGTTTAGCTCGACTAAAAATTTATGATGTTTGTATGAATATATGCGATGAAGGTGTAGAATGTATGAGTATGTTTGTAAACATGTGTGCATTTCAAGAGTGTCGTGAGTCATGTTGCATGTGAAGCATCATGGTATGCATTCTTGTGTCGATTGATTCCTCGGTGAATCTGCAGAACCTCGTGTGCCCTTGTGGGGTGTGAGCGATGGTTAATTATTGATCCCTTGGTGGATTTGCAGAACCTCGTATGTTGTGATGGTTATTTTGATTCCGCGTAGAATCTGCAGAACCTCGTGTGCCCATGTGGGGTGTGAGCGATGGTTATTTGGTTCTTCAATTAAACCTGTTGAAATGAGTCGGTACCGCATTTGCATCTGCATAGAGTCGTGTGTCGGTCTCTATGAGTTGCATGTTGACATCTTGCATGGTGTATGGTGAATAAACATAATTGTAAATGCTTATATGAATTGTTGATGATTGGCATGATTGGTATGCTTGAAGACACATGTATGTGTGAATATATGCATATGTATGTTTTGTGTGTTTATGAGCTGATATAAACATTGTTGACGCATATTGTATATGCATGGTGTTCTATTTGTAAATAGATAATGGGAATACATTGCGATGTACGGTATGACGAGGTGAGTTGCGGTGAGAATACGAAGGATGTATATTGGATATTATGTATATATGTATATATGTTTATACGCATTGTTATTATGATATCGTTTCTCACCTTCTGTTGTTTCTTTTAATGCTCTATGAGGCATTGCATATTAGATTGCTTGAGGTATTTTTGTGAAGCGTGGCTTCTTCCCTTTTTGGTCGGTCGGCTCTGATATGTAGCACCGGGTAGATAGGAATTATTTTGATTTTTTTTGTGATACATCTGTGTATGTATCTGCTGATGATATGTTTTGTAAACATGATGAATGATAACTGTATATGTGAACATATGTTTTGGAGAATTATGGAATATTTGGATATTTCCGCCTTGTTCTAAATATTTCTTGTGGGTGCTACCCTGTTGTTGCATATCCGATTGAGCAGGTGTTGTATGTGTTGGAATTTTTATGATAATGTGATATTTCCCTTTTATGCCACGTTGCAAATGTACTCTGATGAAATTTTAAATTTGTGCCTAAATGATTTAATTGTTTATTTTAGGGGTATAGAAAGGGGGTGTTACATTAAGTGGTATCAGAGCCAGTGTTGAGTCAGTTGTATCTGTCTCGCTGTTTTGTTGGTTGAACGGTTGTTTGACCTTGTTGTTATTTTTGGGAATAATCAGAATATGGCAGGTCGTAATGACAACGCTATGGCTGCGGCATTAGAGGCTATGGCTCGAGCGGTGCAAGGTGCGCCGAATGTGAATGCTAACGATAAGTTTAGAAAGAATCAGTCGCCGGTGTTCAAAGGAAGGTTTGATCCGGACGGTGCTCAGATTTGGCTAAAGGAGGTCGAGAGGATCTTCAGAGTTATGAATTGCGCTGAGGGGAACAAGGTGAGACTTGGATCTCACATGCTGAGAGAAGAAGCCGATGGCTGGTGGGTCGGCATAAGACAAATTCTTGAAGTTGATGATAAGGAAATAACTTGGGATTTGTTCCGCACTGAATTTTTGAGGAAGTATTATCCGGAGAGTGTGAAGGGAAAGAAGGAAATGGAGTTTCTAGAATTGAAACAAGGGAACATGTCCGTGGTTGACTACACGGCTAAGTTTACGGAGTTGGTGAAGTTCCGTCCTCACTATGATGCGGTGACGGCGGAATTTTCCAAGTGCATTAAGTATGAGAATGGCTTGCGTCCTGAGATCAAGCAAGCGGTGGGTTATCAGAGGATTCGAAGATTTTCGGACTTGACCGAATGCTGCAGGATCTTTGAAGAAGATAGTAGAGCTCGTTCTACTCACTATAAGAGTTTAAATGAGAAGAAAGGAAAGCAACTGGTAAGGAGTGGACCTTATGTGACGCCTGCTGATAAAGGCAAGCATAGGGAACACTTTGTTAAGAGACCCGGTGGTGGAAGTTCTGGTCCCATTAAGTGCTATAGGTGCGGCGAAGAGGGGCACAAATCTTTTGAGTGTAAGAAGGCTGGGGAAAAGTGTGCTAACTGTGGTGGTCTCGGTCATGCTACAACTGAATGTAGAAGGAATGTGATTAAGTGTTTTAATTGTGGGGAGGTTGGTCATATTAGTACAAAGTGTACTAAGGCAAAGCAAGCTCCGTCAAGCGGGAAGGTATTTGCATTAGCGGGTGCAGACACTACTAATATGGATGGGTTGATTAAAGGTACATGTTTTATTAATAATATGCCTTTAGTTGCTATTATTGATACCGGAGCGACTCATTCGTTTA